GAACATAAGTTGCGAGGAGGTATCCTTCGTGCCACTTCTTGGAATTTTGATGACGTCAAATTCCGAAAATTCTCATGTTCTCTTGATACAAATTCTCTCTTTCGAATATGTAAATTTTTATTCTGTTGGGTTTGGTAAGTAACAATAAATACACAATGATTGTTTGCAAATTTTTCTTTATTTTTACCACTTTTCATACAGTGCATAACTTAATTGTACTTATTGCTTTATGATTTAATTACTAAATAGTGGGACTCCTCGTGCTATGCACGTAGAATTAGTCAGTGACTCTTGATCCTCTGCGCAGTCCTAAAGCGTAAATTTCTACGGAGTAATCAAAGAAAAGGCTGCAGCACTCTCAATGTTGACGTAATTAGATTTTGCGTATCCCTTAAAAAGTGTCGCTGATTTTCAAAAATGCATCAATTTAAGTTGTTAAAAAATTTGTTGTGCAGGATCCGCTATTATCTTATGGTAACGTTGACCCTTATACAGTTCTAAAATAGTAAGAGATAAACATGCGCAGTAAATTTTTACAAAGAAAGTAATCAAAAAAAAAGTAGACGTAGCGCCCACAATGATGATATAATTAGTTTTTACGTATCCCTTAAAAAGTGTTCCTTAATAAAGGTTTTACTGTACTATCGTTGTAAGAGTAACATATAATATTTTTCTGCTTTGTTTTCGATATGCGTACAACGTCTCAGCGTAACTCACGGACACGTTTCTGCATTACAATATGATTCGACGTCAACAAAATTTTAAAATAAACCCACTTCATGGAAAATCGAGAAGCCATGTCAGAACATCATATAACATTTCTGTATAACATTTTTAAAGATATAAAAGTAGCAATACAATTAGATCGTGCAAATGTGTAATAAATTTAATCCATGCTCAATTTTAGATAAACGAACATCAATCAAAGTGATCTTAATTTGTTACGCGATACCTGTATTGTAAAAACATAATAATAGCAATAGTAATACGTATATTAAATATTATAGAATAGTACAATGGCGATCGTTGCATTCTTTTCATAATTATTACTAATTAGTGACAGAATATTTTTATAAATGCATTGTTGTTTTCCATCGACGAATTAGAAATAAATATTTTACGTGCGTATGTGATTAAACAGTCTGATAATACTGTAAAAATGACATCGTTTTATCATTTCTGCTATTTTATTTATTCGTCGTTAACCATTCTCTTTTGGAAGGAGAATATTTTTTTAAGCGTGTTTACTTAAACAGCCGAGCTTTTATCATTTTTCTTTTTTGTACAAAGGGGAAATGTATTTTAGGACATCACTTACACCGAACATTATATAGTTTATATTGATAGCAAAGTTTCACTGAAAGTATTACTAATATAACATTCGAATACCAACACATGTATTGTCTTTGTATATTCCTATTTAACGTTAAAACGTACATATGAAATACATTATATTTGTGGACAAGTGTAAAAAAACAGCACTGATTTCTTTCAACAACCGACACTTCCTATTCCTGCTATATTAGAAATAAGTTCTTCACATTCTGATTCCATTGGCGTAACTAGAACTTTCTGGGCAAAATCAGATCTTTAATCAGATAATCAGATCTCTAGGTTTACAGAGTTTGGATATTTGGAACACTGAAAATATTTTCAAAGTCTCAGAGTTTGACTACTCGAAAATTTGGGGACTTTTAGAATTGGAAATGGGAAACTAAGAAATGGGCAAATTAGAGATTTGGTAATTGGAATACTTGAGAATTAAAAAATTTTGAAAATCTTCAAATGTGTAGAGAAATTTAAAAATTCGGGATTTGGGAAATTAAGGAATTGGGGTACTGCAAAATTGAATATTTGGAAAATTGTGATTAAAAAGTTTGGAAATTGAAAAATAGAGAATTAGAACACAGATTTGAAAAGTTAGAAAGTTAAAAATTTGAAAATCTGGACAGTTGAAAATTGAAAAATATCTAAATTCGTAATATTGTACGCCCTCCCTCACATATATAAAAAATGTGGTTCACATATTTGTTAGGGGTGCCAGGACCAGCCTGATCCCTGTGCTAGTCACGCCAGTATCTGACTCATACATACATCTTTCACATCCGTCTCCAGTCATTTTGTATTTTATTTTCTTCATTGACCTAACTTATTTTAAGCTCGACCCTCTTAATTTAATATTTCAGCTTGTCAACTGAACACTTTAACCGTTCAGTTTGTTGACCTTTGATTTGATCAACATCAATCACCAGTCAAGGTCATATTAATGTAACACGCTTTCGACCACGTTCTCCTCTCCGGTTCTGCGTGCTTCAGGGCCAAGTTCCAAGTTTGCAACCTGAAGAACTCATAATATCATTAATACAAATTACTTCAACAAAAGTTCTATCAATTCTCAAGTTCTAAATATAGTTCCATCAAAAAGGAGTACTGAAATTATTGCCAAGCATTACTTGCCTCAATTTGTCGACCTTCTTTAGATGATTTCTTTAATAATTTTCGTATAAAAGGAGCTAGTAACATTGGGTCTACTTTTTCGACGTCTTCTGACGAAACGAGACTTACAGCGAGACCAACGCTCATCGTCACTAATGCACCAGTAATCGTGTACCACAGATAACTCAGACGATACAATGCTAAAGGTTCTCTAAAATTTAGAAAATAGTATCACTGTTTCGCGAGAAGGCTTTTGAGAAAATATGGATGAATATTTACGGAAGAAAATCATCGCTGTCCAAGATATTATCTGGTGGCTCGAGAAGCATTAAATTCTCGACTTGAGGAAACGAGTAGTAACATCCTTCGGTGGTTACTGGTTTCTCGTCGAATCTGTTCAAATATGAAAGATTATTAATTTTACTGTTAAGTTGATATTGTTAAGTAGACATTCTTAAACAGAGCTAAAGTAAATCTTCCCTATAGTACAGTCTCGTTATATGACCATCAGGCTGTGTCCGCACGAAATTGTGGATTTAATTTATGATAATACTTCGCATGATAATAGCTATGCAACAAGTAGTGATCTAACACGTGGGGATATAACTTATAGATATACAATATGTAACAACACAAATTTGATGATCATGATTATACTAAACATGCTTATGTTGAACATATGATAAACGAAAGTCATATAGCGAGACTTTGCTATGATATGTAATTTTATATTTTTATTCTCACTTTATTCTTCCGCTAGCAATCGCAGCTTCTGCCGAAAGACTGATCCAACCCATGAATCCTAGGCCAGCAAGACCACCTATCAGAGCACCCTAAACACATCTATTTATCGTTATCGTGTTCATAAAATACCATTAATTGTTAAATTCCAATATACCTTAGCATTGATCCAAGGTAACAGAACTCCCATACTGAAAATACCAAGAGATGGTCCACTGGTGATCGATGACAAATTCGTGGATAACTGAAACATTTTAACTTTGCTTTGAGACGATTCCTCAAATTATACTGCATAATTCGTATTTTGTTTTGCAATACTGATTAAACGATCTGAGAAATAATAATAAGAAGAAAATTTGCTCTATCGCATTTTAGTCGTTAGAGTCTATAAAATTCTCTGCAAATTCTTTGTATAACTTCTGTTGTTGAAACACAATAAATTCTTCAAGTTTCGGCTCGTTCTTCAAAATTGAATTTCTCAAAAATAGAACGATACAGAATAATAATCCACACTGAAAATCTGAATCGCCTTTTCGATATTGCAAAACATAAAAGAGAAGCTTGTGAAGCAGTACTTGCAACACGTGAGATCCTGTTTTCTCCACAACGAACACAAGTGCTACACACATTACACCAAGAACAACGACCGTCAGTTTTAATATAATGTCCGCGGTTTTCGGAGTGAAGGGTGTCTTTTTAAAGGGCTTTATGAAGTCCTCTAGCACCACCGCCGCCATAGAATTCAAACCGGTGGACAGTGAGCTGAAATATAGAAACGTACGTAAAACATGAAATTTTATGTAGCACTTTTAACATAGAATATATGGACTCCTCTAGTTTTCTGCAAAACTGTGTAACTCTAGAGTGTAACATTTTACGTACAATTTGTAACAACGATGAAAGTGAACAAATTAAACATTATGCACGGCATTATGTTAAAGTATGCAACAGAAAATATATGCTATTGTTTATATTTTCTTTCGTATACTAATGTGGGAGATAAAAGAGATTCACCTCAAAGCTGCGCTAAATACTCCAGCAACGAAAAGGCCAGGAAGACCCGGGTATCCTCGTAATATATTCATAACGAGCAAAGGTAACAGTTGATCCTTCGCACCGGCTAACTATTTTAAACACATTTATAATTTTAATATACAGTGTGTTACCTGTAACGCTACTCTTGTAGATATGGCACAACAAAATTATTATAAAGACTTAAGATGATCGTGATTAATGTATATTGTCAAATTCTCTTGATATTTATTGGTCGTCAGGATTTGAGAATTTTGAAAATATTTGGGAACTTGGAGATTAACACTGGGTGATTCCAAAATTTGGAGATTTAGAAATTGGAGGCTATAGGAATTTTTAAATTTGAAAATTAGGAAATTTAAAAATTGTGAGCCATAAGAATTAGAGAAATAGAGAATTTGGGAATTTGAGAATTTGAAATTTAGGGATTGGGAGTTTGAAGTTCAGGAATTTGAAAAATTAAGTATTTGAAATTTCGGAAATAGGAAATCTTGAAAATCGGAAACTAAAAGAATTTCATGCTTGGAATCCACATTTCAAAGCTTGAATCCGAGGATATATAAATTCGTAAACCTAGAAAGGAAATCTTTAAACTTGGAAATTTGGAAACATCAGTTTCAAAGTACAGTTTATGAGAAATTTAAAATTTAAGAATTTGGAATTCGAGAATATCCCGCACATAAGCAAACATCATAAAAATCCTGAAATACGGCAAATACATGTATCGATCATCTCAAATCTTCATTAAATCTGAATAATTCTCCATAAAATGTGAAATAGAGTATGCTGAATATAAAATCGTTCTATTACATCCAGTTACGTTGTGAAATTAGGCTATCAGGGAAGTCTAATCATTACCTTCGTCGTAAGTGGATCGCACACATGATACCAAGCATATATTAACATTCCCGCATATCCGCATATTCCAAGTAAAAGTAATACTCCAATCATGAAAGTCCACAGCGCTCTGAAACGCACATTTGCATGTAGAGATATTATTCGGGGATTTCTACGTTTATACTGAAACAGTTTCAAAGAAATTAAATGTACCTTCTGGCTGATCGTAACGTGGGTAATGCGAGATATCGTTGAATCATGTTTTGATTGATAGCAGATATCTGCAACCAGTGAACCATACCACCTATCACTAAAGACCAAATCGTGTGTCTCGTAAGAGGGCTCCAGTCGGCCCTGTTCAAAAAATTGATACTAGTTAATAAATTTGTATTATGTGTAGGGTGGTTGTTAGAATTTATGAGAATGGAGGCAACTGATATTATGGAGGTCGTGTCATATTTATAACTTTTATTATTATAGCTTTCAAGTGTACCTAAATGGGTAGAGAGCCTCAGCTTCCAAAATATGAAAGATTCCTTAATTTCCTAATTTTCAAATTTTGCAATTGACCAATTCACAAAACCTCCAAATCCTAAATTCTTAAACCCCTAAATCCTCAAACCCAAAATTCCCAAAACTCTAAACCCCAAATCTCTAAATATTAAATCCCCAAATCCAAAATTCCCAAAACCCTAAATCTCAAATGTCCAAATATTAAATCCTCAAATCCTTAAATCCTTACATTCTTAAATTCTTACATTCTTAAATTCTTACATTCTTAAATTCTTACATTCTTAAATTCTTACATTCTTAAATTCTTACATTCTTAAATTCTTACATTCTTAAATTCTTACATTCTTAAATTCTTACATTCTTAAATTCTTACATTCTTAAATTCTTACATTCTTAAATTCTTACATTCTTAAATTCTTACATTCTTAAATTCTTACATTCTTAAATTCTTAC